CCCTGGCCAACGTCAATTGCGTACCAGTCTACAACAATCCCTCAGTTTTTCCTCTGAACTTTTATGCTCACGTATTCCCGGCAACGCAATACGCATGTGCAGAAGATCATTTACGACAAAATTGGCACGTTTTTAGATAGTCCAAAAAGAGTTTTACGACAAGCCGGCGCTTTGCGACAATATGAGTCGGCAAGTTCCAGACAGAAAACCGATCTGTGGAGACTCGTCGTCGGAGATTTTTTTTTTTTGAGAACAGGCGAAAACTAATGCGCGCGTGGATGTCATCCATAAAATTAAGTCGGTGGGGCCTTAGGTTGGCGTCAGCAGACACGAATGATACCGCTATCGTGTTGTATCAATCCGAGCCGTCGGTGGTAATCACGGGTGTCTGTTTACATCAAAATATCCTGGAATTATATCTTTATCACATGTATATTGGCACAGCCCACAAAAGTGAAACGGCAGGTTGTCGATAGTGGAACTATTAATCAGATAACAACGATTATAACACATCACTCGTTAATACTGCACTGTAATTGGTCAAAACAGGATCACGTGTTATCGGCTAAATTAGCATAGTAGCGCAAGGGAAATTACTAGTTCCCTAGGGAGACTAGTACATCAACTCGTGCCCGGAGATGACGTCACTCGTCACCTGATTGTGTGATTTCCAATATGTCGTCTGCTAGTTCGGTCGCTGATATCGATGGTCCGCCTCGAAAGACTGAACGATTTAGCTTCAGTTCAGAAGAAGAACTTGACACACTAGTAGAAAATAAAGATGCACCGAAGACGAAGGAAGCAATCAGGTTTTCTAGGAGCGTCTTTACATCGTTTGGTGAATAAATCGGGACACCGCTAGCAGACGTCGAGAAGAAGACGGCAGACGATCTATGTACGTTCCTGCGGCCTCGTGAAATAGCAGGTATCGTTGGTATCCCACAACCCCTTGGGGGAAATAGACGTATACTAGTGCCCTCATGGCCATGCACTATGTGCTTAATATGAATATATCACTGTGCGCGCAATGTGTGCTAGTTTGCGATTCTACTTGTTTGCGATATTCATGTTGCTCCGAATTGGTTACAATTTTATTTGTTTATTTCAACCGAGTTATTTTGAAAGACTAATTGAACCCTACAAATTAACTTGCCAACATGAATAATGTACACCGGAATCCGTATAGAACCGAACCGAAATCTGCGGCAATAGTTCGGCAATATGTGACGTCAAACTATTTGAGATGCATATTTGATCTGTTATGTGTTACGTCACTCACGTTATGCATGTGACAATGAACCACAACAAACGAAAGGACTGAATAAAATGGTGAATATTAAAACGTACCCGGACAAAATCACTGACATGCCAATCCATTAAAGCGGGGGAGTAGTCGCCTGCGCATGCGTCATATAACTATAGCGTGTCGTTGTTTACAAACAAGCGTCTACCCATGAGTCTTTGCGTTTTAAGCGTGCGTTGTTATCGTCGTTTGGAACTCAATTTGACGACTCTCCCGCTTTAATCTAAAATCAATGGTCGTTTTGGGATTTCAACAAAGTACAATGAAAATATAACGGCATACATGGGACAGTAGTATAAAAACAATATTCTACACGAAAGGACATTATTAGTCACGACAATTAACGAATGATATATAGACTTCAAAGTGAAGTGATATCAGGTGTTTACAAAAGTGTGAGCTTATCAGACCCCACCGGTAGCACACGCCATATATCAAACCGAGCAATCAATTCATGAAGAAACCTTCTACATAGGACAAGAAATGTTCAAAGATTGAATGTTGAGATAAGACGTTCTCAAAATAATCCCACGTGACAATGAAAGCGCAAATAAAGTACGTAAAGGCTTCAAATAATTGTATCAATGGATAAATTACAATAAACAAGTTATCTTTCGGACAGCTAAAGTGTACTTACCAGCCCAAACACTAGCACTGACCATCATGGCTACCCTCGGAGTTCTTGTTTTCAGTGATTTCAAGGGATGCGCAATAGCGTAGTAACGATCAACCATCATCGCAGTTAGTGTAATACAGGTGGCTTGTACTGTTACCTACAGATTAGGAGAATGTACGTTTACATCTCAATTGCTAAAGCAAGAGCTTACACAACACAAGTGTTTGAATAATGTTGGATTATTACCAACGCACCATAATGAGTTTAGTGACATTATTTGCAAAACAGTTTAAAGATATCAGAATGGAGTCGAATGTAATTTTAAATTCCAGTTTAAAACGTTCAAACACTACACACATTTTTTTGCAGTATGTGTTCTGTACTTAATCATCAGCATAGTTGGTTAGTTTACACAAAGAAACAGTTAGCACACAATAAGTATCGGGAATGTTATAACTAATAGGCAACTATCGCACTGAACCACGACTGTTAATTGCCTTGCATTATCCTGGCATGACATACACTAGAATATCAAAATAATGCACTTGTGAATTCAACGAACGTATTATTATGCGAATTGTCAATTACTATTATCCGGTCAGACCTCCCAATATATTTATTGCACTGAATTTACAGAAATATTACCGAAGAAACTTTACGGTTACGTGCAACTTATTTCAGTATAATAATACATTACAGCATTAGATTCAAAATACATTATTTCAAATGAAATAGTATATGCAGGTATAATATAATAAAACACAATTGTGGATTATACGCAACAATGGCGACAGAACTGCGTTGCGTTCAGTGATGCATGATTTACTGTATGCGTTATTCAAACCAGTTAAATGAAAATAATCATTAGAAACGTTACTTCCTAGGGCTTTCAATTAAACTGTCGTGCTTTTTCATAACGTCTTTTTTACCCATCAATGCTTTTAATGTTTGACATACTCATCCAATACATGTTGCATTTTCCTACATCAGCTCGGTAATTAGAAATGCGATTTACCGCGATGATACGAATGTAGACAATGCAGTATAGCTCGGGGCATGGTAGATTGACAACAACGACCGATAACACAAGTATAGGCGAAGTTCTGTGAGACATTACGTTGATGTACGTATACCTAATACACGTTGATCATTATTTCTGTCTGTCGTACGATGTAGAGCATTGTTAAAAATGGAAACTAATGATGTTCGCGTAAAATAAAGCAAAACCATCATGACGCAGTAATCTTATGTATCAAGTATTTATCAGATAAGAGATGAAACTTTGATATCTATCTACGTGGACGGTGTCATGATGTCGGAGTTTTACGCACGCGTCATTCGAAGGTATTTATTTCAAAAGCATCACAGAATGCAGAGTTGACTTTGGCGTGTTCAAAAGCGCGATGCGCACGTAATTTACTCTTTGTGAATAAGCAAGGACACTAGAAAAGACTGGTGAGATAGATGCCCACTAAACATTTCTCAGACAGGTAAACTATTTTATTTCGGTATTTCAAGAGTGTTCAAGAGTCTTCGAATAACGTGACATCTTAATCGTATATCACACTACTTGCCTACTCCACTGTTTTTATATACATCATTGATATTAATCATAGTCGTATAGGAAACCATTAAAACATATCATTAATATTTCATATAAACACTGTACTTTACACTTGTTATAATAAACAGTGTTGTGGTGATGTCGCACTTTTTAAAACTTTTTAAATTGTTGTTTTCACAACATGACTTCGGTGCCATGTAGTTTAAAAGTTGAAAGTTCATCGCTACCATATATGTATGCCATGAATGATACTACGTGTGAATTTGCGCCTTTGGTTAGATAGATGCTTAACCCTGTGTCAATAAGCTCGCAAGATAGATGATGGTTTCAACTGCGTAATTTTAAATTTCTGATTGCGTCAATATTATTCTAACAACGAACTTGCATCTATTTGTGTGAATTGTGTGCTTTCTACAAAGCAGTATCGGGCAGTGTACGTGACATGAAATTCTCGCTAAACTTGTCGATTCTATTTTGGTATCCGATTAATTCACGCTCTTGAAAAAAACAATTACTTTGACTACCGCGTTATTTTCCCTGTTTTTGCGGCACCAAAAGATTGCCCAGGTACCTAGTGGGAGATCTTTCATTAAAATAAAGTAATCTTCAGTTGCGCGGGAATTGCCTAGATACCGCACCAAATTGTGTATTAACATTTTAGAAACTTTATGCTTTATGGGAGACAATATGGAATCGATATACATGAACATTAATTTAGTCAGACAAGCATGTAATCATAGTCTAGCTTTCAAATCGGCTGGCAAAGACGACGCAGTTGTAGTATGACGTAGAATCCTCTAGATTATGAAAGCCGAATGACAACTGCCCGATGTTTCTTTTCAGAAACAAATATAGTCCGACAATATATATAACGAAACATATACTATAACGGAGCATATACTATAATGTATCTATCCAAGTATTGACTATCAGCATATACTATAATGTATCTATCCAAGTATTGACTATCAGCATATACTATAATGTATCTATCCAATTATTGACTACCAGCATATACTATAATGCATCTATCCAAGTATTTACTACCAACATATACTATAATGTATCTATCCAAGTATTGACTATCAGCATATACTATAATGTATCTATCCAATTATTGACTAACAGCATATACTATAATGCATCTATCCAAGTATTTACTACCAACATATACTATAATGTATCTATCCAAGTATTGACTATCAGCATATACTATACTATAATGTATCTATCCAAGTATTGACTACCAGCATATACTATAATGCATCTATCCAAGTATTTACTACCAACATATACTCTAATGTATCTATCCAAGTATTGACTATCAGCATATACTATAATGTATCTATCCAAGTATTGACTACCAGCATATACTAATATGTATTACGTTTGCTTGATACTTTTAAAACATTGAGACTTATAAAGACAACAGTAATTTGATAATGATCATACAATCACAGATATAGAATTGGTTACGTCGTTGTGGATTATAATGTTACAGCTGTTAATATTTTCAACAGTGACAGCTTGTCGTCTACACGTTTCCTTGTCCCGAGCTGCCATAAAGTAATTTTGATTCTTAATTAATGTATTTATTTGGTTTCATTTGGTTCCCTTTGTTCTCCCATCCTGGACACCATTTTTCGTTTTCTATGCTATATCATTTCGTTGTTTGTTTTGCGTTTCGGGATTTCATGTTCCTTTTCAGCCACTACTGATTACTACCGCTGATGGCGTGGTTAAGGGTTCTGAATCACCCTGTATGACAGACGACATTTTACACTTCATAATTTGTATTTCACTGATTTATGTATTTTATGCACAAACATTGCTTCACACAAAGTAGTCTGTTTTCGAGTATAATAGCGTGAAGAAGCTGTACGGGTACATTCTGTGGCATTTCAGCATGATAAATTCGGAATGTATTCTATCGGAATGATCAGAAGCGAAATAAACGTTTTCTGGTTAAATAAGTTTATAATTTTCTATTCGTCTTCCTACTGTTTTTAGTGATACTGCATCACTAGAAGCGCTCAAGCGCTCGACATATTAGCGTGTTAAGAATACGGAACGTTTTAATAATCAAGTTCACCTGTGGCAGAGAATGTTTGAAAATGTTTCTGCGCATTACCCCAGCTATATGCCAAACCTACTTTTATTAGTGGACTTTATTAAGTAAACTTGTAAAATTGACGATATTTCTAGTGAAGGAAATTAAACTATTCCATCATCTTTTATCAACACAACAGTCAAGTAGTTCCCGAGTTCGCCACTTATGTATACATACATGCATGTTCATTTCAAAGGCGGCACTTATATGAGTAAAGATCTTTTTAGTAACCAGTTACTTGCACACAATATATTTGCTAAAAATAATTTATTCCACCTATTTTTCTGATTTATTAAATCTGTGTAGAAAAACCATAAAAAATCACTAATAGGTGTGATACGCGTGATACGCGAACTCAGTAATTAGGTGTCCAACACCATTTAAATGTTAGTCGTGACATATCTATGAGTAAAAAATCATCATGGTTCGGCGACTGTTAATAACAATTCTATTATAGATATGTCTTGCGGGTAGTCTAATACACGACTCGGCATACCTTGCTTATTTTATCAAGAATACGTACTCTGTGCGGGGTTTTAAGGCAATTTTACAATCTTTCAGGCGTGAAATTCTATCCGAGAACTCAGTACGGCGACGTTTGAACTTTATACAGTGCGTTGATTGGCACGTGCGTATTCTCATCAACTAGCTTTTGATAACTACTCGATTGCCTTGCCGTCTTATAAGCTGCAAACCATATACATATCACGTGCTAGAAATGACACATTGAAGATCATATTTACCATGATTTATTACTCTCGTTTTTTTTTGGTTTAATTTCGTCCATCGAACGATTGAACATTTGAAACTGACGTGATATTCATACAAGTGAAAAATGAACAGCACGATTAGGTCATATACACGTTGTTCTTGGTAACCAAACAATAAACAAATAACTGAAGCTTATAGTGTATATATACACTGTAGTATACTACTACAATTTACCGAAAAGCAAACACGTGCCGTAAAATCATTCTGCTAGAACACTTGTACTTGTGAGTTATCAATGTTAATAGTGAGCGCCTCTTAAGAATTTGTGCTTTGATGAGTAAGAACATCATGCGTTTATATAACATTCTCTATGCATCGAGAGACTCAATGATACAATATGAAAAGTGCTTAAACACAACAAATGCCCAGGATCCATAACTCTACTTCACAGACCTGTTAAATTATTCCCAACTTGCAAAAACTGTCGTGGAATAATTTCAAAAATTCCGAATGGTAACGAGTTATTCCAACGCATTATTATTTGATTGTTATTTGAAAGGATCGTATATCCACAAAAGTTAATCGGAACGAAATGTAGATGTTGAAGTCATTAAAAAATGTCCACACTAGGCCAATTTATGTAATGATTATATTATAATCATATACACACACTAATAAATACACCAGCTACGCGTGCGAACACGTGACAGAATGCAGTTAACATTCTAAAGTTAATGACGTGAGAGTTAGAGTAAACTATGCAAATTATGGAACATAAGTGTCGTGTATATACCACGTGTAGGTGTAAGTCTTGTTATTATTATTATTCTTACAATTCGTGGAATGCTCTATCGCTTTGGCTGCCTGAGGCTCTATTCATTTGAACATGACAGGCCCTACCTCTTTCGACCATCGTAAACCCTGTCTCTTTGACCACCGTAGGTTCTATTCCTTTGACCATTGTACAGTCTATCTCTTCGATAATTGTCCGTGCTATACATTTGACCATTGTAGGCTCCATATTTTTAACCATTGTAGTCTCTATCTCTTTGATCATTGTAGGCTCTAACGCTTTGACCATTGTAGTCTCTATTGCTTTGACCATTGTAGTCTCTATTGCTTTGACCATTGTAGTCTTTATCACTTTGACCATTGTAGCCTCTATCGCCTTGACCATTGTAGGCTCTATTCATTTTAACATTATTGTCTCTATCGCTTTGACCATTGTAGGCTTTATTCATCTGACTATT